TCGTGGTAATTTCGCTTCGACGAATGTATCTTTGACATGCGAGAGAGCAAAGCGTCGAAAGAATCGAGTGACTCGTGATGCCGACAGATACTATTAAGCGCACTTAATGTCCGGCCATGAGTTCAATTGCTATACTTAGCGCGTTAAGTACGCGTTCCATCCTTTGAGAAAAAAGGGGAGAGAAAGAAGGAAGGAAGGAAGGAAAGAAAAGAAGAGAAAAGGATCGTGACAATTTATGCGAGGGGGAAAAAAAAGTAGAATAAAAGATTTTCCTTCTCTTGCATTCGAAGAAATGCATTCGGAGGGGAAAGAGAAAGAAGAAGACTGTTACCGGGGCAAGAGGCCTCCTCTCCGTTGTCCTTGATCACGTTCTCCCCCGCGGAGACGATGAGGTCCCAGTTAAGGGTGGTGGTGTAGCAGAGGGCGGGATTTTTCTCGATCCGGACGCTGCCCCTCGAGATCTCGGTAAGTTTCTTCAGCCCGATCTGGAGAAAGAAAGAAAGAAAGAAAGAAAGAAAGAAAGGGAAAAAAGAAGCGCACGAAATGATCGATTTAGCCTCGATAAAGTTAACTCCGGCGGAGGTCGAACGACCGGTTAATTCGATTGACTAATTAACGTCACTTGACCCGCGGGGTCAAGCAAACCGACGTTACGTCTCTAGAATGCGAATTGGAAGGGAATCCTCCACTCTGTCGCGAATCGTGGGAATCGAGAATCGAGAATCGTGGGATCGCGGGGCCTCGTTTATATCCTCCTCCAATTGGGGCTCGAATAATACACCGATATACCCGGAGAGACATTATTACCTTCCTTCGTATCTGTCGATACGCGAGATAGATGGATTTAAAAAAAAAAAAAGAAAAAAAAAGAAAAAAACGATATTATCGACGATCCACACCGCCCGATCACCGTGATTTTTTCTCTTTTTTTAATTATTTACCCTTCCAATCGAGGGTGAAATATCAATTGATCGGAAGGCAAAAAACGAACCGCAGAAAAAAGAAGAAAAAAAAAAAAAAAACGCTATTATCGCGGATCCCACCCGCCCGCTCCCCGTGATTTTTTCTTTTTTTTTAATTTTTTCCCCTCCCAATCGGGGGTGAAATATCAATTGACCGGAAGGCAAAAAACAAACCGAAAAAAAAAAAAAAAAAAAAAAAAAAAGGTATTCCGATGGAAAAATATTTGCCAACGGTTCATATATTGATTTATTTTGAAAAATAACACGCGAAAACGTGTGCTCGTTTTTTCCAGGCCGTCGATGAATCCTCCTCTCTCTCTCTCTCTCTCTCTCTTCCCACGTGGACAATATTTGTTTCGCAGACCGAGCTTTTATTCGACGGTCTCATTCGTTTATATATATTTTCTCGCTCTCGAGAAGGCAAAAGATCAACAATACCGATATCGATAATAATAATAATGATAATGATAATGATAATAATAATAATAATAATAATACTGATAAAAAGGTATCTCACCTCTTGAAGATTCTGCATCTCGTAAACCATGAACGCGTAATCGGTGAGCAAAATGTTTCCCCTGATCACCTCGAGGTTGGGGAAAAGATTGCTCAAAGTTTTCAATCCGTTCACGCGATAGAGTAGGAGATATCCGGTGATCTCTCTGAGCAGAGGGAAACTGATCGGTTGAAAATCCCTCTCCGAGCTGTTCTCGAGAAGGACGATCTGGAGGAAGCCCTCTATCACGCGGCAGTCCTTCATAATTCCAAACGCGGACGCGGCGTTCCTTATGTCTATACTCTGACAGATCCCATCGCCGATCGTCACATTTTTGTACTTCCTTGTCACCTTGTCACGGCCCGACAAGTCGCTCGACTTCGCGCTCGATTTGGACAGCCTCGATTGTTGCCCGCCTTCCTCCGCCAATTTCGTGTTCGCTTCCGTCGACCTGCGATCATTCCACAACAACGGACGACCGATTACACTCGGGATTACAACACCTCGACGCAGAGCGCGACGGATTTGTTTCATTTGTTCGGATGTCGGACAAGATGAAACGGATAAGATCCTCGCTTCTAGGATCCTTCGTTTGTTTTTAAAAGAATTTTTAAATGAACATTCGATCGTTCGTAAGTCCCTTTTCAGGGGATTTAAAAAACGAAGAATCCTAGGAGGGAAAAAATGATTGTCCAATGGATTCTTCGTTTTTAAAAAAATTTAACAGCTCATCCGTTCGAAGAAGGGAAAATTCGTTAGGAGGGAAAATTTCTATTTGGGCAATTTCGATTGCTCGTTTCTTCACCCGAAAACAATTGTCCAATGAATCCTTCGCTTTTAAAAGAATTTTAAATGCACATTCGTGCGTCAGCGGAATTTAAAAAACGAAGAATCCTAGGAGGGAAAAAATGATTGTCGAATGGATTCTTCGCTTTTAAAAAAATTTAACAGCTCATCCGTTCGAAGAAGGGAAAATTCGTTAGGAGGGAAAATTTCTATTTGGGCAATTTCGATTGCTCGAAGAATTCTAGGAGGGAAAATTTTAATTTGGGCAGTTTCGATTGCTCGTTAGATTATTCAAAAATGATTGTCGAATGGATCCTTCGCTTTTAAAAAAATTTTACCGCCCATTCGATCGTTCGTGCGTTCCTTTTCAACGGATATAAAAACAAAGAATCATAGCAGGGAAAAAACGATTGTTCAATGGATTCTTCGCTTTTAAAAAAATTTTACCGCCCATCCGATCGTTCGAAGAATCCTAAGAAGGAAAAGTTTTACTTGGACACTTTCGATCGCTCGTTCGTTCATCCGAAAACGAAAAATCCGATCGTTCATACATCCCTTTCCGCGAATGTAAAAAGAAAGAATCATAGAGAATATTTCTACTTCAAGATTATCATTCGTTCACTCGAAAACGATTGTCGAATAAGTTCGCTTTTAAAAAAATTTGATCCCAAGGAGAGAAAATTTCTACTTGGACATTTTCAATCGCTCGTTCATCCCAAAAGAATTGTCCAATGAATCCTTTGTTTTTAAAAAAACTTGGCCGCCCATCCGATCGTTCGAAGAATCCTAGGGGGAAAATTTCTACTTGGACACTTTCGATCGCTCGTTCGTCCAATGGGTTCTTCCTCCGCTTTTAAAAAAAACTTAGTCGCCTATTCCTGCATTCTTTTCAACGTAAAAACGAAGAATCCAAGAAAAGAAAATTTTTATGGCTTCTTCGTCCGCTTTTAAAAAAAGTTTGGCCGCCCATTCGATCCTTTTTCGCAAACATAAAAACAAAGAATCCTAGAGTAAATTTCTATTTGGACACTTTCGATCGCTCGTTCGTCCAATGGGTTCTTCCTCCGCTTTTAAAAAAAACTTAGTCGCCTATTTCTGCATTCTTTTCAACGAGCATAAAAACAAAGAATCCTAGGAGAGAAAATTTTTACTTGGACACTTTCGATCGCTCGTTCGTCCAATGGGTTCTTCGTCCGCTTTTAAAAAAAACCTAGCCTATTCCTGCATTCCTTTCAACGAGCATAAAAACGAAAAATCCAAGGAAAGAAAGTTTCTACTTGGACACTTTCGATCGCAATGGGTTCTTCCTCCGCTTTTAAGAAAAAACTTAGTCGCCTATTCCTGCATTCTTTTCAACGTAAAAACGAAGAATCCAAGGAAAGAAACTTTCTACTTGGACAGTATCGTTCGTTCACCCGAAAAGCGGGGTTGTCGAATGGGAAAAATGGGCGGAGGGGAAGCGATACGCGCTTCTCCTCACCGAGTACCTGGAATCAATCGCCCTGTTGCGTCTGTAGGAACCGATTCTCTCGTAGAACGGGTCCCGGGGATCGTCCCTTTTGCGGTGGTGTCCATTCCCGAGGACGGCCTCCTCGATCCCGTAATCGGCCACGTATCCTCTCCTAATCTCGTCGTAATCATCGTCGAGAGCGGGAGCGCCGCTGTTCCAAGTTGCATCGAATTGGCAAGCGGCCAGCGACACAGCGGCGCACAGCAGCAACATCACCGGCGACCACCGCCGCCACCACCACCGCCACCTCGTCCCCCCCATCCTCTCGCCACGGCCAACAACCCGGCGGCGCTGCCCTTCGCCGAGGAACGGGGCGAGATCGTCAAACCTTCCCCGAATTACCTTCCTTCCTCCTCCTCCTCCTCCTCCGGTCGCCTCTCCCTTCGTCCTCCCCCTCCACCTTCGCCCGATCGATCGATCGATCGATCGCCACGTGCCACGACGACACCTCTTCGTCGCGTTACGTCGTCGCCCGTTCAAACCACCCTTTTCTCCCCTGCCCTGACGCCTCGATCTCTCCCGACCGAGGAGGATCGATCATTCGATTCGATTCGAGAACAGAGAGAGAGAGAGAGAGAGAGAGAGAGAGAGCGCGAGAGGGGTATATCCGATTCAAACCAGACCTTTCCGCCTCTCCACCGCCTCTCCTCCGCACATGAATACGATTATTTCGGCAGAAAAAAAGGAAAAGAAAAGAAAGGAAGAAAATCGAGCGAAAAATATGAATAAATTTCGCTCGGATTTATTATCTCGACTTTCCGTCTTCTTATGCAAAAAAAAAAAAAAACGGTAAAACAGAAGAAGGATGAACTGCGGTCACGGCCAATCTGGCGATCCGCCTTTAACGACTGCCGAACGACCTCGTTCGCGGATTCTCCTCTTCCTGCTGCTCGCCGTTGCGGATAGACCGCAATCCTTGATCTTCCAGTTCTTCCACTTCCAAGATCTTATTTACGATCCTTTCCTTCGAATTAGACGAATTAAAAAAAATGAATTTTCGCGAGGGAAGAAAATCGCCACTCCTTTTCCTTGTGCGTTTCTTTTTCTTGGGGGGAGGGGGGAGGAGGTTTTTCCCTTTCTTTCTTCTTCTTCTTCTTCTTCTTCTTCTCCTTCTTCTTCCTCTTCTCCCTCACAGCTTCTAGACGGCGAACGAAGGAACCACGCTCAGAGCAGTTTCTTGTTGAAGATGAAGAACTTCCCGCCCCTCATAGCTCCGCCAGTTGAACGCCTGCAATCAATCGAACGAAGAGGATGTACATGTGCACGTATGAGAGGGGAAATTAATCTCGGGGGGATAGTCGTTGCGGATAGTCGTCATCGAAGGCGTGTGTCACTAATCGACCACTTAACCCTTAAACGAACCGTCTTCGAATCTATTTATAGTCTACTGTGTTCGTCCGCGACAACCGGGATACACCGTTTTCCTTACAGTTCTTTGGAACTGTGATGACAAAAAGTAAGGTAAAAGAGGAGGCGAATATCGATCTCTTTCCATTTCTTTCCATTCTGTATACGTACACAGAAGCGGAGGGGAAATGGCAATTAATTGGTGACGCCCCCTAAATTAGATATACAGATTCAATATTTTTATTTATAATATTTTTATATATAATTATAATTTTTATATATTAATTAATATATGTTTATATATAATAATTAATATATATATATATTATTTATATATAATTATATATATAATTACATATAATTAATAATTTTTATATATAATATTATATATATAGAAATGCTACTTCTCTTTCACGAGTCGAAGAATCCGATTTACAAACATCCGGTTTACGAGAAAAATATTACATTTGCACGCGCGGATCGGTCGCTTTATCGCGTTCCACTGATGATTGCTCGAAGCGGAAAAAGAAGAAAGAAACGAAATTGATGTTCGAAACTCTCGTAGAATTTCTCGTAGAAGATGTGATCTATCAAATTCGAGAGAATACGATTTAAATACGCGTTGAGTTTCACTTAAAAGAATCTGTTGGTCGATTTCGAAGGGAACGTTGTTCATCCGTTAAAGTTTGGCGCGAAAATTCAAATTGAATTCACCGTTTTGCGTCCGAGACGCGTAATCGAGGCCGAAATTAAGAAATAATTAACGAACGTGACGATAATAACGATTCGAGCAAAAATTAGAGAGACTTGTGTCGAACATCTGAGTCGTTGATGAACAGTTTTCGCGAAAAAAAAAAAAAGGAGAGGAAAGAGAACGAAGGGAGGGGGAGAGGGTCGCGAAATTTAAATTGATAAGCGGTGAAAGGGATTCCACGCAAATCCATTCCTCCCTCTATCCTGATAATTTTGCACGCACAAACCCTCCACCCACGATAAACAACGCGAAAGGAGAGATCGATCATTTCTCACGATCTCGTCCAACGGTTACATCCGCGGCAGACGTATTGGTCATACGTTCTTCATAAAGTTGCTGGCATAAATCATGACCGGCCATTTTATCTACCAGCGGGACAGCTCTTTAAAACTGCAACCATGGAGCTGGCTCGTGCATCGTTGCGCGTAGGTGGATCTTGAGACAGCAATAAATGCGTTGTTGTAGAAATTTCTGGTTCGCTTTCGAACCGAGCAGGGATAATAAAAATAAAAACAGAGAGAGAGAGAGAGAAAGACAGAGAGAGAGAAATTATGCGAGTTGTCATAGTGCGCGGCAAAATTTTTTGGAATTCTTAGAATCTCTGAAGAGGCGACGAAAGGGAAGAGAAAGAGAGAGAGAGAGAGAGAGAGAGACAGAAAGAAAAGAAAGATCAAAGTGACGAAACGCATTTTTCCCCCTCACGGATTCGTTAAAACAGCTGGAACACGTGGTTCGATAAAATGTATAGTTTTGCTACATGTGTATGCAAGATATCGAGAGAAGGCGTATACATAGTTGCCGCGCTCTTCCACGGTTCGTTTATGTATATTTACGTGACACGTGTAATTACGTTGCACCACCGTCGAGCTTGGAACGTGTTTTTTGCACCAAAATCGAGGAGACCTCCCTCGATAGCGAGGCCATCGTATTCTACATCGCGTCTCGTCGCCCGAAAATTCGAATTTATATCTTCTCGTCTCTCTCTTACGAGAAAGAGAGAGAGAGAGAGAGAGATTAAACGAGACGTTGACGATTCTTTACGAAATATTTTTTTTTCTTCTTTTCCCCTCCTCCTCCTCTTCGAGTCGAGAGAGGGATAATTCCAGCGAAGAGAAATTGATCGTTTCGGTCTGGTTGCCAGGGAAATTCCACATTACTTGCGGAAAAGATGATATTCGAATAATAAAACTGTTGGCGAGCTATTGATTAAATTTATATATATCGTTAAATGGGTGAGGGATCCATTCATTTCTATTTCTATACGTAGGGTAGGAGTTAAAGAAATGTGGATGTTAAGTTGTGGATGGACGTTGAACGATTCATTCGATTTGAGAAAATCGAAGGAGAACTGTTTTTCTTTTTTTTTTTTTTTTTTTTTTTTTTTTTTT